TAAAAGGACTTCAAATGGGCACTTCCCATCACAGTTTGCAATCCAAGGATTCATTCCAAGGGCTAGAATTCTGCTCCATAAATCTGGTTCAACCAAGTCATCTCGCAGAAAAGGTTCCTTCATTAATAAGTGGAAAGGCGTGTCTCCTTTGTCGTTTCTTGAATTGACATCTCCACCATGGGAGACGATTTCGGACCCAATTTTAATCGTTTCATCACTGATTGCTGCGCGCATCAGGATTGCCCACAAATGTAAAGCTGTGTTCCCTTTAGCATCCCTGGAATTTATTTCCAGTCCATACTCTTGCAGGATGGCAATGCCATTGCAAACTATCTCAAGCCCCTCGGATGATCTTAGACAGCCAGTTTGTAAAAGGGATAGAAGAACATGCAGAAGAGACCTGTCCTTTTCGTCTTTGACGTTAGGTCTTGCTTTAGCCTCCAAAAGAAGACGCCAGATTTTTACAACTCGAGTCCCGGAATCATCGTCATATGCTTGGTAAGGCACATCAGACCAACCACTGGAGTTAAAATAACATAAGGAACGTCGGAAGGACAAACTGTACAAAAGGGGAGTCTCACTTAAGTTGTCTCTTTCATTAGGGTTAGCTTTGCTTTGAAGCAAGAAATTGATGAACATGTACCAGCTCTCAGGTGAATCACTCCCTGTCGCTTTTTCTACAGCGTGAAAAAGACACGTGTGTCCTTGCTGATCTTTTCCGTCCACTTGGACTCCTTCCTGAATAAAAAATTCTACTAGTTGCACATTTGGCATGGAAAGCATGAGGTATGGAAATCCTTCTACTTTCCCGTTAACAGAACATCCAGTTTCTCTGAACAAAATCTTTACTGCTTCACAAACTTCTTTATTATTCCAGCAGGGAATTGCTGGATGAGAATCTGGTCCCGTAAATTCTTCCAGGTGCCTTATAAGCGTTTCTAAAATTTCTTTTTTAAAGTCAATGTCTAGTTCCCACAAACATATCTGCAAAAGTCTTGTCAGACTGCAGTCCTGAATAGCGTGTAAATTCCTAGTTATTCTCAATGTATCTTTGTTCGAAGTTAAAATTTCAACAGGGTGGTCAAAAGCTCTGATACCATGTTGTGGCAAAAAGCAGAGTTCGAGGAACAGCCGTGGAGTCGTGTTATCGAAATGGTGGATTTTCTCTTTGAACAGCTCCAGAATATCGCAGCGGTGGAGAGCAATGGCAAGCTCTAGCGACGTTTGAAAATGTACGCTTTCGAGGTAGATATTGTCACCAATAAATTCGTAATGTGCAAAGCACGATTTTACCAACTCTTGGCTTCCGAGCAGAACTGCACTGTGAAGGAGAGTCCAGCCATTTGAATGCAATGAAACTGATAAATGATCACGACTGAGCATGCTACGAATTTTTTCAACAGCATTATTGGAATTTAAAATATACGAAGGATTTAAGTAGTCAATTACTCTGCAATGACGCGGGCTCTTGTTAAAATTGGACCTGCGCAGACACTTGCATCCCGTGAGATCTACCTCCTCAAGAAGAGGACAAAACCAAAGTAGAAGATCTAGAACTCCAAATGGCCAAGTT